ATATTTTTGGACCTCAAACGAAATATCCCGTGTTACACATGAGAACAAAGTGAACTTGTTTGAGGTTTTAAGGGTCATGGCCCTTTCCAGCTATATGTGCTGACACTAACCCCTTTTTTGCAAAATTAGGAGTTCTGGGTTGGAAATGAAGAATTTGTGAATATGTACCTGGACAGGCTTGGTGATGCAGGCTATACGACCTTCAAGCTTGCCCGAACTAACAACCGGGGTGACGGTATATTGCATCTTTGATGTATTCCTTAATGTCAATTTTAATACATTAGACTTATCTGGGATCATTCAAATTCAGTTAAATCTCATTATTGCTTTAGTCCATGGGTAAAATTCGCAGTTTTTTAACTTACATTTCTATGTTAATTCCAAGTTCACAACTGCAATATAAGTCAGATGCTGAACAACTTGAAAGTTCTGAGAAAAATGTGCATTATTCTGCACAAATGGTTTCATGTTTCATGCATCAGAGTCCTGTGTCCCAACACTTTGCGGTTGAATTGGCCTTTTCTTTGTTATCTTTTCCCAGTACAATTTTCCACCATCCCTTCTGTTTCGTCAGCAGTCTAAGATATAGGAGAGTTCTTCCACTGGTTCTTCATATATCAGAATGGCCTTCCAGTTTGATATCAACTCGTTTCTTGATTTGAGAGTGTTGTCATGATTGAAATGAGCTTTTTAAGTACTATTCCATGCTCTATGGCTTGACTTATTGTATTTTCTCTATGCAGGTTTGCTGACTGCTGTGCGGAGGGATTGCTTTAGTGTTCTAAACTATCGAGAGTTGCATTTTAATGATTTTGGAGATCGTGTTGCTCAGCTGTTACATGTTCAGTTAGCTTCCCCATTTTCACAAAACCAGAGAGGAAACGTTCAGCAAGAAATGCTAATTGTGAATACTCACTTGTTATTTCCTCACGATTCCAGTCTCTCTTTAGTGCGATTGTATCAGGTAATCAAAGTTTCGTTCTAGTTATCAACTATTGGCATATCAAGGTCTACTTATTTTGAACAAGCTGCAATTGCAATCACTCTAACCATTGTGTCTTGCAATTTATAACAGGTTTACAAAATTTTGCAATTTGTGGAGTCATATCAGAATGAAAATAAGCTAAACCCGATGCCCATCGTACTCTGTGGGTGAGTCTTCTGTCTTGTCTTTCTTAGTTACTGTTTGATGACAAAATCTCATTTTTAATACTCTGAAGAAAACCTTTAAAATGTACATCGTTTTGAAGGTGCCAGCTATCCTAATTGATAATTGCTTTTGAAGGCCGCCTTCACAATGGAATTTTAATAAATGGTAGGCTAACTCTGGTTGTATTCTTTTGTGTAGAATTGTCGGTCTTATATTTGTATTGTTTTATGTTATTCTCAATGCAGTGACTGGAACGGAAGTAAGCGTGGCCATGTGTACAAATTCCTTAGATCGCAGGGGTTTGAATCAACATATGATACTGCTCATCAATATACTGATGCGGATGCTCACAAGGTTGGTGTTTTCTGGATTTAAGTTCTGAAATCAGTGATTTACATTGCGGCAACAGAGCCCATATATACAATGCTCATCATGTTTAATATTAACGCAATATTTGTATTTTATATCCTACAGTGGGTTAGCCACCGTAATCATAGGGGAAACATCTGCGGTGTTGACTTCATTTGGCTTTGTAATCCCAATAAGTCACGAAAACCACTAAAGACTAGTTGGTGCGAAGCTGTTTTTGGAATATTACAGGTAAGCAGTTCGTTTTCCATATTCTATCTAATATCTTGCCACAGAAGGCGAGTCGTAATTCGTCAGATATATTGTGCACAAAAGCTCTGTTCAAAACTTCCAAAAGGATGCATTTGATCGTTTACATTATAGTGCATGCACGCCCACGCCCTAGACAGTTTCCACATGTGATCCTAATAACTTCCTTTTTCCTTTTGGGGTTTTCAGCGCCAGCTCCGAAAAGCTTCGATGGCTGAAAATGATGCATTTGCCTTTCTAAAGGGTGATAGTCATGGTGATTTTATTACGACCACAGCTTTCTGTGAAGGACTACATCAGGTTGGTTCTATTTGCTACTAATCTATATAAAGTTCAAATGGAAAGATCAGGCTTGCTCATATAGGTCTTTTGCAGGTTAACTTAATTGGTCATCCTACGGGACTAGGTTTCCAGGAGACGAGGGATCTCTGGATCCAAGCAGATGCCAACGCAAATGGTGTCCTTGATTACGAAGAATTTAAGGTACCTTTACATCCATAAAATTTCATCTATTTTCAGTTTGAACTTGCATTACCATTGTCCTCAAGTGGTAGTCACCCAAAAGATCTATAACATTTACATCTTGTGTGTAAAACCGTTGACACTGCAGAATAGAATCTGGAGTTCGACAGCATCAGAGGAAAAGGAAAGCCTCATCGGTAGTAGAGAGGAGTCCAAACGAGGCACGCAGGGCGCCCTCGGATTCAATGTGAAGAATGCAGTTCTATATCCCCGTGAGGCGGAGAAGGGAATATGGCCCGATGATTACACTCTCTCTGACCATGCTCGACTATCGGTTGTACTTTCACCAGAAAGGATGTGGTGTTGCCAGTCGTAAACCGCACTTAACGACGCACTCGTGGGTGAGCATAAGTGGAGCAGAAAGGAATATGCAGAATCTGTAGGAAATGTGTATAGCCAACGGAGGAAAGGTCCCTTCTGGGGTACTTGTGTAGGTTTGATAGTTTTTTCTGGTATATATTCTTCATTGTTATAACTGTTTCTCACTAGCCTTGCCCAAATTATTTTTCATCCGAGAAATGCTAGGAAGAAGTAGACTTTCAATAGACCATCGTCACCTCATATTTTTAACAAAATATTTTATAATTATAATTTTGAGACAAATTATCGTTAAACTATAAAATGACAAAGAATTTATAAAAAAATTTCACTTGAAAAAAAACCTCTTTTGCGTTTTATTTTTATTTTTTGGGGAAGTGGTGGGGAAATCATGCTTGCAGCTCTCAGCTGTAATGTGGAATGCTTTTTACCAGAAACAAATGGATTTTGAAGATCCTACTTGATGATATACGATTAGTTTTTGACTTAAATGGATTTGTCTTGTTGCTCTGCAAGTCCTATCAGGTGGGCCCACAATCATGTCAAAGAGAAATGCAGGCCGTTGTTTGCTTCTGTGTTTGTTGTCCGTACAGAGAAACAAAAAATCTAAATTTGGAAAGAAGACGCACTAAATTAGTAATTAGGTATGACTTCAGCACATCCGTATATTTTCTCGTGCATTTTTTGGGTTGAACAAACCCAAATGAGAATTAATGACGGAAATTAATCGAGTGTGTAAAAAGTAAAAAAATAATGTGTATATGTTGCTTTCTTTTAAAATTTAGGTTTTGAAATTTACAAGCAAATCTTAACTGTTACGGAAATCATCACATCATGATTCTTTTTCCATTTCCCTACTTTTGAACACTATGGTTAACAAGATTATTGCAAGTAACCACACTTGGGTGAATTACATAAGGAGTGAGATAAATATATTATAATAGAATCTCCTCCTGTTACGCTTAAAGAATTTTCCAAAAAGGGTTTAAACTTGCAAAAAGGTGCTCTAAAGTGAGATATAATATATATTTATAAAAGGTAAAAATTCATTATTGTCCACTCACTCATCTTCATAAATATATCTTAGAAGTGATAGTACATGGAGACATATTTTGATTGAAAATAACTACATGGGAATGCTACTGACCTTTTCAATCAGATTTTCTTGATCTACCTTATTCACTCTCTTTTCCATCTTACACAATGGATCTTATTCATTTACTTTTTAATTCACGCTTTAAAATAAGTACTGAAAAATATTCAATTGCCCTCATTTAATCTGCTATGGACCAAAATGGGGTACAAAATTTCTCATATCATCTTCAAGGGAGGTAGTATTTCAGTAGCAAAGTTAGATTTGTTATGTCACGTAAGAAAAACCCATCGCCAACGGAGGTAGCAACTAAATTAGCAAATTAAAGAATTAGCAACTCACATTGTATACTTCTAACATTCCACATCGTCCAATGGAGTGGATCATGTAAGTCTTATATGTATATTCTCATCTCTACCTAGCACGAGGCATATTGGGAGCTTACTGGCTTCGGAGTTCATCGGAACTCGGAAGTTAAGCTCGTAGCGCACGAAAGCACTCCCATGATGGGTGACCCACTGGGAAGTTCTCATGTGAGTTCTCAGAAACAAAACTGTAAGGCCGTGGTCGGGACCCAAAGTGGACAATATCGTGCTACAGCGGTGGAGCGGGCCCAGGATGTGGTGGACCCTAGGTCAAGATGTGAGAATTTGGTATCAAAGTCAATCTTTAGGCGGAAGTGTGCCGATGAGGACGTCGAGCCCCTAAAGGGGTGGATTGTAACATCCCATATCGCTCAGGAGAGTGGATGATGTAAGTCTTATATGTATATTCCCATCTCTACCTAGCACGAGGCCTTTTGGGAGCTCACTGGCTTCGGAGTTCATCGGAACTCGAAAGTTAAGCAAGTAGCGCACGAGAGCACTCCCATGATGGGTGACCTACTAGGAAGTTCTCGTGTGAGTTTCCAGAAACAAAACCGTGAGGGCGTGGTAGGGGCCCAAAACGGATAATATCGTGCTACGACGGTGGAGTGGGCCCGGGATGTGGTGGACCCCAGGTCGGGATGTGACAATACTCATAGGGTAATTGCTACTTTTTCAAGTTATAAATTGAGTCTCGCAATATATTTCTATCCAAAAGTATTTGTTTAGTAAAGAGTTTGAAAATAAAATTTAAACCCACAATTATGATAAAGTTAAGACATTTTCCAAAGAAAAAAAAAAAACTCTTATCATCTATTTGTATCATATTTTTAATTAAGATGGAACCACATCGATAATCCAAGTCCAAGAAAATTTGCTCAACTCGTTTGGAGATGCTTACGTGATCCCTCGCTTCTCAGTGAGTTGCCAAAAAGCAGACCCAGCCATACAGCAAGCGGTCCCACACGTAGGACTGCTTAGCTTCCCACCAAACGCCACGACAACAAAAATTCCACATCCCATGAAAAAGCAGAAGCAGAAGTTTAATATCTTCTTCCATTAAGCAAAAACCACCCGCTGAAAGCCGAAGACTTTGATTAAACCCCAAGTCAATGTCCGTACTGTTTCTCCTGTGTTTCTAATCCTATACAAATCCACCCAGATTCCGATTCTCCTTCATGAAAGATAGATGGCTGCCAATAGAAACCGCTTCACCAGAGCAGCAGCAGGTGACCTGTCGATGCCAGTGGGATTCCGGTTCCGCCCTACAGAAGAAGAGCTGATCGACCATTACTTGCTGATGAAGCTCGAGGGTAAGGATTACCTTGTCAGCGACGTCATCCGTGAAATCAATATCTGCAACCACGAGCCAAGGGACTTGCCTGGTAATTATTTTCCAAAGCCAGGTCTTAAATTTTCATTAGTTTTCTTAGTTCAATGAGTCTGACAATCTGTATTCTCCATTGGGTTTTTGGGTTTAATCCAAATGTAAATTAATTACCAAACCCAGTTCTTAAATTTTGTTTTTTAAATTTTGCTGAAAATTTTAGTAAAAACTTCGAATTTGCAGTTCAATGAGTCTGACACTCCGTTTATGCAATTGGGGTTAGTCCAAATGTAACTTTATTATCAAACCCAGTTCTTAAAAATTCAATCTTTTTATTTATTATTTTTATGAGAATTTTACTAAAACTTTTCAATTTGCAGTTACACCGAGTTTGAATCTCTGTTTACTGTTTAGGGGATTGGGTTTAATCCTAATGTAACTTATTACCAATCCCAGTTAACTAAACGTTATCTTTTTTGGGTGACAATTTTACGAAGGCCAGTGATTTCACTCTTCTGTGAGTTCGAAAAATTATAAAATGTTTCATTTTTTAAGGTGTAAACAGCCGAAAAATGCAGTGCGAAAAACGCTACCCCGTTTCTTGAATGAGTCTGATAATCTTTATATACAATTGGGTTTGAACCAAATGTTGTGTTTTATGCAGGGTTTTCACTCTTAAAGTCGGATGATCAAGAATGGTACTTCTTCAGCACTTACAAAAAAAACAGCAGAAACCAGACCGAAAGGGCAACGAAGGAAGGCTTCTGGAAGATCACTGGTGCCCAAAAACCGGTCAAGACTCAAGACAATAGAACTATCATCGGTAAAAAAAGGATTCTAACTTTTTACCGAGGTACTGTTCGTAATTCCCAAAGGACCAACTGGGGTATGCATGAGTATTACATCCCCCAAACCAATCCTAATGCTAATCAGGTCACCATTCTCGTTCTTTTTTGGGTTTATTGTTTCCAAATAATGTTATCAATATGCTGTATAATTTGCAGCGTTGTTTAACAGTTTTTATGAGGTAAGTTCTAAACTGGAGGCTTGAGGAGTTTTTGTTGTGAAACCGAAGCCTATTTGGTTTGGTTCGATGGGGTTTTGGTTTTGAAATCATTGAATGGATCAAAAGCGAAACCCCTTTGAGCCAAATTTGTTTTAACATAAATGTGCAAAGGTTAATGACTTTTGTTTTATTTTCTTGAACGAACGATATTATCTACACTAGGGGGGTGGGGGAATGGGCTAAGCCTCACAATGGGCTAGCAATAATGTGGTTCAAATTTGCCTTTGGAGAGTAATTGAACCTAAGCCCTCTCACTTACAAGTGAAGAGGAATACCACTAGACCGTAGTACTAAGTGGCATTTTGGTTTTGAACCCTTGTTTAATTTTGTGTTGCTGCCATTGCATTACATGGTTTGTTTTGCAACCTAATTGTGCAGAGGGATTTCGTTCTCTGTTGCGTAAAGAAGAAATTGGGTGAGAATGTGGATGCTGCAAACTGGGATGTTGAATCTATTACTTACAACAATGAATCTGATTTCGAAAATCAACTGCTACGAGCACTTGGTATGGATATTGAAGAGGTGAGAATGTTGAACACGAATGCTGATTAACTTCGTATATATAAATGGTGCAAAAGAAACTGATTTAAAACCTTGCTTATTTATGGTTCACAATTTAGGAGCATACTCAGCAACAACAAAGCATGGACTATTTTGAGAGGGAAGAGGGTCGTATGCTTGCAAGTGCCCCTGGTAATAATGATTACCATGGGTTGCAATCTGCATTTGGAGCTGATGAACCGGATGATAAGTTCGCAGAGTTCTTAAATTCAATTATTGTTGATGGGGATCAGGATGAAACAACTCATGCTAACATCTTCAATGACTCCACTCATCCTGATACAACTCATGCTAACATCTTCAACGTCTCCACACATCCTGATACAACTCATGCTAACATCTTCAACGACTCCACTCTGCCACAGTCAATTATGAGCGTGTATTTTGAGGATGAAGCATTAAGCAGTGACGCAGACACAGAAGTACTCCTTGCACAGGTAACCAAAAAAAAAACCCACGTTCCCCATAGAATAGAAGCTTCAAATCTATATTTTTTTTGTTGTGTTGGTAGTTTTCACTGGCAAACGCTATAAATTTGCTCAACTTTTTGGTGCTGGAGGATTTGGAAACACATTCATGTTTTTAGAACATTTTTTTATTTTTCAGGAAATGAGTTTACAAATGCTTAGTGAGCCACCAGTTGATTCGAGCCACTCCAGAAGACAGGAAGGTGTCATGCTTTACCAGACACAGGCTGCTTCCTCTGTCAATGTAGTACCTAAACCTCAGACTGATCATCTTCAAGTAGTCACTGATGAACATTCTGTTACACATCGTGGTCAATTAGTTAATGACGAGCATTCTGGTACACATCAAAGAACAAGCAGGCCGCAACGTGAATCAAGACACAATAATGCCTTAAACGTAAAGAATGCTTCCTCTGTGGATGTAGATGCAGAATTACGTCAGCTTAAATGTATTCGATTAGCCCCTGACGAATACTATAACAATGAAAGAACACGTGGAAGAACATATCCAACTAGTGCCCTCGAAGCACTAAGCAAACAGAAAGAATTAAAACAGCAGCAAAGCAAGGTGAGTGAGAGAACCCAAAACTGCAGCACGGAGAACGTGAATAATGATTCTTTGTAGAGGCTATTTGCACAACTTAATTTGGTTTATTTTTGCAGGCAAAAGAAGCTGCAGAGCTTCGAGCTGCTGTTGATTTTCCTCCGAAGTTGACATCTATAACAAAGTCTAACAAAGAAGCAGAGGTGGCTCAAGGTAATAATGCAGAAAAGGGTGTGAAGCAGACACAGAACACAACAACCACTTGCAATTGGAAGGGCTGTTCTTTCATTTCATGGGAGACATCCCCCCCATTAACAAGTCCCCCATCAGAATACTTTTTCAACATGGTTCTAGGCATAATAATGTTCTGCTTTTTTGCTTGGCTAGTAGTTTTATACGGGCAGTGGTGCTAGAGGGGCTCATTCACCAGAAAAATGGTTAGTTTTTGTTGTCTGTCACACGATGAGTAATGCCATACTTACTGGTTACTTATTGCTGCTCTAAAATGTGGGAGTACCAGCCACGGTTTGCAGTGATGAAGTGTTTATATTTGGTATAGCCTATAGAGTTTGACTTTTTTCTGTTTCTACGGACCAGATGTAATGATGGATGGCTAGTCCACATAATATATTGTTTTTTGCTTAATCGTTTTGGGAGCAGGAATTCGAACTTTTGGGGATATCTTCATAAAATTGTGAAATAGAAGCACTACTAGACCATGGTGTTGTTCGCGTTGTTAGAAGTTCAAATGTTTTTCGTTTTTCTATAGTTGCAAAAGAATCATTTGGGGAGCGAGGATCTAAACTAGTGGGATATCTTTTAAAATTGTGGAAGTTGAAATGTTTTTCGTTTTAATATAATTTCAAAAGAGTCAATCAGTACTAAGGTCTGGTGATATTTTTCTTCACTTGTAAGTGAGAGGTCTTAGGTTTGAATCTCGTATATTGCAAATTCGATACCAAAATAGATTACCCATTATGTGGCTAGCCAAACTCCCTCTCCCTTTAGTGTAAAATATATCGTTGTACTAAAAAATTCAAAAGAAATCATTTGGGGAGCGGGGACTTGAACCTTTGGGATCTTCTGAAATTGTGAAAGAGAAATATGTTAGACCATGATGTTGTTCGTATTGTTAGAGGTTGAAAACTTGAAAGTTAAAACTTGGGAGTTTTAATGAAAAAGGCCTAGCACTATTCATTCTTAATTAAAATGACATTTTGTGTATGAAAAGTCTATAATGGGTCAGACTCTTTTCTTTATTTACTCTTATGCCATTAAAAGCGGTCCACAATGATGTTGACATTTCTGTTTGGAAATACATTATGATGCTATTCAACTTATGCTAATTTGCTATCAACTCTTCATGTTTCCATCATGTTGTCAATGTTATGCAGCTTTTTTGCTGTCAAATTATTCCAATACTGCTCATCGCCTTCTACTAGCTCTGCCTCTTTTTCTCTATCTTCTTTCACCTTGTAATACATATCTTCTGTTTCTCCTTTGAAATTTTGAGGCTTCCAGTATGACTGGTGGCAGGCTTTTGACTTGCTGTAAATATGCATTTCTTCTACTTCTGCTACTAATATCATATCATACTTAAAATCTTCAAACTCATCTAAGGCAAACATTTGGATCCCTCGAAATTTTCAAATATTTTTGCATGAAAGAGTCCACCTGTGTGGAGATATAGGGGATAGTCTAAAGGACTCTTCATTAATAATGGCTATATGCCTAGCTTTCTCTTTATGCATATGTACATACCAATCTGAAAGACTACTAATAAAACTTATGCAAATTTCTTTCCACTTTTCTAGATAATCTTCTGCTACTTTTATAAGCTTTTCAGGAAATGATTCTAGTTGGGAAATATGGTTGATGAATATTTTATCAAGGTAACCAAACTCTAATAGTAAAGCTGAGGTAACTTCTACTACATTAAACTTTTTTTGATGCTCATAACTAAAATGCCATGGTCTAAAATCTCTCATGTTAATCTTGGCCACAACTATGCTAACTTCTAGATTACAAATACAACTCTTTGTACTATCACAAAGACATTGTGGGTACATCTTTGTAATAATATTCATCTCTGGTTTTGGATCAAAGATGGACTAATACAAAGCACATTGTAGTTGTAATTGTAACTCTTTCATAGACTGTGATGCTCTGCCCACGATCTCATTTTGCATATTTGGTGGCATTATTCTTAATTTTGCTTTTGAAATTTCTTCTAATAGGATATCATCTATTATTAACTCTAAAGCTATATTCCTAAAAAAACTTTCATATCTTTCTTGTTTTTCTTCTTTACTTAGATGCTGATGCTGCGCCATTTCAATGTTTTCTTCTAAGAGTTCAATCTTAATCTCTTATATGAGCTCATTAGTCTCTTGTTCTATGGGTTCAATAACCTCTTTTTCTTTATTCTTATGTTGATCAGTTTCCAAACCTATTTTCAATTCTCTTTTCAGAGTGTCACTTGCTTTTGCAGCATTCTAAGGGATTGAAGGTCTTGGTTCATTTTAGTAAACTTACTAAGTAATGACTCATGGTCTCTAGAAATGATTTGAATGTTGTGTTCAAGAGAATGAATATGATGCTTGCTTTGATGGATACTGAAATTAAAATTATCAAACTCTTGTTCTAATGCTCTAATTAATTTCTCATGACCTAACCTCTTGGTTGTTTGATTTGAATGTTCCAAAAATTATCTAAGAGAACCTGTTGCCTATCAAAGAGTTTTGGTACCCTTGTCCTACACCTCAGAGTTGGATTTCTGATTCCTTCAACAATATTGCCATTAAGTTGAAAGTGGGTACTGGTGGTTATGCTGGTCTGTTTATACTATTTTGGAATCCATTGAATGGTGGAGGTCCATGGTGCATCATTATGCTATTGAAAAGTGATCTTCTATCTTGTGGTCTTGTGCTATTTGAGGATAATGGTCCATGATATTTCATTCTTGTTCAACAAATTAATCTTGATAAGATATCAGTTAATGTATTGTCATTACCTTTTATATGTTCAAAAATTGATTTAAAACTATTTCCTGTAATTGAATAAATAAAATTAACTCATCTTCAGGCTGTCTATTTATTAGCATGTATTTTGTTATAATGAGAAACTATATTTTGACAATCTGTTTTAATCGTAAATACTTCATTATGTAAAAATAAAGAGAATGCCTCAAGTGAATTGATTATCCCTAAAATATCTAAATCTGTTGATGGTAATCTTGATTGTACATCATTAAATTTTCCTGATGAATATCTACAAACTTGTTCATCAGACTTTGGTGATTCCTTATACTTTTTTTGGTATAGTATACATGCCTATCCTAATGATGAAGCATCTGTTTCAATTATTTTGTAACTATCATTTAATGGTAATGTTAATGGCTTAAATTTAGTAATTTCTTCTTATATATTTTGAACTAATTTAATATCTTCACTATTAAAATACTTTTGTCTTGTTTTGCTAGTTTTCCTATGTAATACTGCTATTTTTCTTCCTAAATCAGGGATAAAATTTCTTGCATAATTTAACAATCCTAAAAATGCTTGTAACTGTTTTTTGTCTTCTAATTTATCTGGAAATTCTAAGACCTTTTTAGCTGTATGATCTTGTAATTGTATTGTACATGACTTGATATACATTCCTAAAAATTCTATATCTTGCTTTTGTAATGTTATTTTATTTTTACTAATCACAATTCCATTATTAATAAATTCTTGTAAAATTATCTCTAAGTGCTTTCTATGTTCATTTCTATTTTTACTATGTACTAAAATATCGTCTATATAAACACTACAAAAATTATCATATTTCTTAAAAATTTGGTCCATCTTTCTTTGAAAGATCGATAGAGCATTTTTAAGTCCGAATGGCATAACAAGCCACTAAAAATGTCCTTCTGAACAAGTAAAAGTTGTCCACTCAATTAATTCTTTTGCTAATCGTAATTGTCAAAATCTTGATTTACAATCAAATTTACTAAAATATTTACTCTCTTGAATTTTATTTATAAGCTCATTTTCATTTGGTAACTTATAACTATCTTCATATGTATTATTATTTAATCTTTTGTAATTATAAACTATTCTAGCCTTACCTCTCTTTAATTCTGAATGTTTTCTCACAATAAATGATGATGATCTATGTCTAGACTTAGAGGGTTTAATTACTTTTAGATTTAACAACTCTTTTATTTGCTATTCAAACTCTTATTTATCTATTAAACTACAAGGCATGTCAGCTGTCTTAATGGTTAAATCTGGATTAATTATATCTAATTTTGCTAATATTTTATTTTTACTCAAATGCAACTGTGGGTCTTCTCCTATGATTCTAGTTTGTTCTGCTAATTGTAATAATTCTTCTAAACTCTTTGGTCTGTCTAACTGTAATATTTTTATACGGGTTCATTCTTCTAAAATAGGATATTCATGTTCAAATATTTCTTCATCAAACTCTTCTATATTATTGTGCTCACCATTTTCTTTTGAGTTTTCTAAATAATAACTATCTTCGCTACTAATAAACTCTTCTATACTTATGCTTTTGTATGCTTCTACAGTATTACTTTGGTCAGTTATAGTTATACCTCTTTTGAAAAATGTTATGCTAGGGTTCATAAATAAAAAACCTTGTAAACTTTTCAAAAAGTTTAAACCTAAAATGAATGGGTATGATCCTACTGATGAGACAAATGTTAATGGTAAATTAAATTGTTGTTTTTCTACTTTAATAGACTCATTATTTATACAATGTGTTATATAAACTGGTCTCTCATCAAACTGTGTTATTCTCACTTGTTTTGCTAATTTTTGTCTATATTTTTCTGGTACTAACTCTTCTCTTATGACACTCTTTGTACTCCTTATATCGATCATAGCTGTTGTTTGTATCTTATGTTCTTTTGCTAATTTTATTTCACAATTTATGGTAATTAAAGAACTATTTTTTGGCTTTTCTATACTATAAACAATATTTCCTAATATTTCTGTATTTTCTTGTGATTCTGTTGAATTAATTTCTAATAACTTATTATTATAACACTTTTTTCACACAATATTGAATATGTATTATAGTATTTATTTGCAACTAATTTACTACACTTATGACATTTTTCTAGTCAACTTAAATTAATATAATTATATTTTTCTTCATGTTGTTCTTCTATGAATACACACATATACTCTTCTAAATCACTATTTGTGCCACTTGAATCTTCTGAGTTTGAATGTATCATATTTACACTTTCTATACTATAAATACTCTCATTATCACTTAAATCATCTAAACTATATATTGACTGTTATCCTCATCCTCTTCTAACTTAAACAACTCCATCGAATGTATTTTATCTCTTGGTTGTTTTCTTAATTTTGAACATTTAGGTCTAATATGTTCAGCTTCTCCACATGAATAACATTTACAACTACTCTTATCTTTTGGTGCCTTATATTTTCTAATCCAAGGTCTGTCACTTCTTTTCCTAAATTGTTTTGGAATATATTTTCTCTTCTTATATGTTCAAGAAGGTCTTATGTTGAAATTTTTATGCTTTTTGTAAGGTTTATATGACCTATATTTCTTTTTGTAAATTTTCTTATGCTTATTTTTCTTATGACAACCATACTGTTGTGGTAAATCTACATTTTTACAGCCCATGTAAAATTGCTTTCTAATATGTCTCTTAGCTTTTATTTGGCTATACTCTTGTCTAAGTATGTCTTATACATGTTAAATTCTAGGTCTATTGCAATATCATTTTTCTTTGGATGCTTTTGTCATTCATTCCAAATCTTTTCACCTATTGGTCCTTTTATTTTTGCCATATAAGTATCTAATAAATTAATATCACTAATTTTACATGTTCTTCCTAAATATTTAAAGAGAAATTTGTTGTATATTCAGCTAAATATTGTAAATCACAAATTTATAATTATTCTAAATTTTTAATTGCCCTTATTTGTTCTTGTTCACTTCTGCCATCTAACCTATTATGATCTAAAAATTCTTGCTTAATTAAAGTAACAAAACCATCAATATTTAAATGCGTTTTAGCTGCCTAATGTTGTTCTGGATTTTGGACTTTTCCATGACTGGAAATAATAAAAAACTAATTCATCCAAAGTATGCTCAAAGTAATTTAACATATTTGTGAGTTACTAAAATCTAACATTAATGCTACATGTACGCAACTTTTTTCCCATCTATCAATTGTTCTCTCCCAATCTTGTGGATCTACATTATCTAAGTTTAATATATTACCTGCTATATTAATTTGTTCTAACCCTCTCAAATATGGAATCCTATTTTTTTTTAGGTGGTTTTATCATATTTCTTCTATGTAATCTACTTTTGCTTTTTCATTATATTGTTCATGACACACCCTAACCCGAAGACTAGGACGTGCTGGCCGTCACGTGAGTGTGACGTAACCATAACGCAAGCGGAAACGATTTAATAATAAAATACGAATTAACGAAAACCACTAATTGCAGTTATTTACAACCTAGCATTCTATGTGCATAAGAGTGTACTAAACACACATAAACAGAGCATAAGCATCTAGGTGCAGTCAAGTAGGAACATAACTATTTTACAACACCCTCGGGTGAATCCTACATTTATTTAGTCTGTCAGAACGCCGAAGCAGTCTCGTAGGCCACCAACGCCTCAACTATTAACTAGAACCTGGAGGGGCGAAAAACAGAAAACGTGAGTGGGCGAAAATAAAGCTTTTCCAAATCATTTCACAAATCCACAATTATAACCCCTTTTTTGGAAAACCTGTATACTTTCCCAGAAAAATAGTATATAGCATATATATCTCAACTGTCTCAATCATCAATCTTATAACAGATTCAATAAAGAATGTACCATGCCAATCTCAACAGTTTAGTATGAATGCATTAACATAATATAATCAGGTAAAAGATAGAAATCAATCGGAGGCCCTCTAATAGCCCTGAACGATTGAACCTAGAGCTCAACATCTATCAATCTCACTCTCTGCCGGAGTCACTCCGCGTGACCTGTCCGGCCTTCTGCACATAAGTCGGAACCACCTAATGTAGTTTGAACGACTCATGGTAATATTCGCTCTAGTGCTTCTCTCATCAATCATCTGTATACAATAACCTAAGGTCACCCACCAGTCATAATCTCACTAACACTCTACGACTGGCCCGTCGTACCCACTCCGCGTGGACTGTACGACCAGCATCTACTTGGATCCAAGGCGAGCGTGCGATGCGGTGAATACTATAAGCACTAAACCATGGTGCAGGATATGAGCTCAATATATCATCATCATCATCATAATATTAATTAAATACTTACCTGTGCTTCCACAGCACCATCATACATATATGCATCATACGACAGTTCATAATATCCATAATATTCTATGCATGGCAATCACATCATATTTCATTTCATTTCAATATACTTTTCATTTAAATTTGATTTCTGGGGAAATCGAGTATATAGGTATATATATAGAAAGCAATGCCCACTCACTGGTATGTCGCCGGGTCGTAACCCCCTTGACGCCCCTGGATGTGCTCGTCCTCGTTAAATGTTCCACCTAGAAGTGAAATAACTTAAAACAATCATTTAACGCACAATTAACGCACCTAAACCAAACTAGGTAATTAATTCTTCATACGATGCTCAAATTGGGTATATGAATATACCACAGTGACCTACACAACCTCAGGATCATCCCCATAATTTTAAAATAATTTTTGGAGTCCTCACGCGCCCCCACGCGCCTGACGTGGCACGGACCTACGCGCGGCCCACGCGCGGCCACGTGACATGCACACTGACGGCTACAGTGAACGGCGTTAGAGAATATTCCGTCAAATCCTAGTATATTCCGTTAAAAACTAACGGTTTCCGTTAAAGTTAACTAACGGCGTCGGAATATCCGTCAAACTTGACGGAAGATTCCCTGTCTTCTCCGGCGAGTCACCGGTCGCCGGCGACTGTTCGCCGGTTTCTGGAAAATTTTCAAATCCACTATTCTCCTTCGTTTTTCAACCAATTTCTTCGCATTTTATACCAAAATGAAGCATTTAACATGTACTATCACGTTGGAAGGGTTTTAAGGCCTAAAAACAACAAGATCAAACCTTTCAAAATTCTTCAATTTCGGCCAAACTCGAACCCGACGATCCCGACGTCCATTTTGATCAAACGAGGCACTCCGAGCCTCCTTGGAACTTCCTAAGACTCGTGGTGATCTTTGTTTAACCTAAAACACAACCAAAATTAAGTTCGTGAACAGTGCCATTACACGGGGTGTTTTAAAACTAGGGTTCTCGAAATAGAACTTACCTAAAACTGGTATTCCCGTGCTCGTGAGGTCCTAAGGAGTGTCGTGGTGATCTTAGATCGGACGTTGGTGTAGGATTGTGATTGTTCTTGGTGTTTGTCCGAGAGCTTGAGAGAGTTCGAGAGTAAGAGAGAGAGAGTGTTTCTGAGGGAGTGTGAGAGAGACTGAGGGAGAGACGAGGAAGAAAGAGGGAGAGACAACCTACGGGTTTTGGGGAAGGATTTCAGGAGGTGGGGATCCCACCTAAGTCCAATACAAAATTATTAGACCAAACAAATGTAAATCTAAACCCTAGTTTAAGATCTTAGTGTAAAACAAATACCAAATTTACGCACCTTAATCCCGTTTAAGGGCGTTTTAGTAATTTCACGTCCTCGGTAATTGAAATTCTGGGACGGGCTGTGACAATCTCCCCTCCTTATAGAATTTCGTCCCCGAAATTCCAATCACTAACCAGAACATCAAAAGTCATAGAATAACCTCGGATACATATCTCTCATCCGATCTTCTGTCTCCCAAGTAGCTTCTTCAGCTGAATGGTTTCTCCACAATACTTTCACCAAGCTCACGGTCTTATTCCTCAAGGTCTTATCTTTCCAATCCAGTATAGTCACTGGTTCCTCATCGTACGTCAAATCCGGATTAATTTCCAATGGTTGAGGAGGAATCACATGTGAAGGATCTGACACATAATGCCGAAGCATCGAGACATGGAACACATTATGTACCTTAGACAACTCTGGAGGTAGCTCCAACCTGTAAGCAACTTCACCAATCCTCTCAGTGATCTCATAAGGTCCAATGTACCTGGGACTTAGCTTTCCTTTCTTTCCAAAGCGAACCACACCTCTCCAAGGCGATAATTTCAGAAAACATAGTCACCCACTTTATACATTCTGTCCGTGGTATGTCGATCCGCTAGGCTCTTTTGTCTATCCTGGGCCACTTTCAGGTTAGATTTAATTACCTGAATATTCTGAGTAGTCTCATCCACAATCTCTGGGCCCTCAAGTATTCTTTCACCAACCTCTGACCAACATAATGGCGTACGGCAAGCTTTACCATAAAGTGCTTCAAATGGAGACATTCCAATACTCGAATGAAAACTATTATTGTAGGCAAACTCCATCAAATCCAAGCGATCATGCCAAGAATCACCAAATTGCATCACAGAGGATCTCAACATATCCTCGAGTGTCTGAATAGTTCTCTCTGACTGACCATCTGTCTGTGGATGATAAGCTGTACTGTAAAGCAATCTAGTACCCAAAGCTTCTTGAAAAGCTATCCAAAACTTAGAAGTAAATCTTGGATCTCGATCAGAAATAATATTCACTGGGACACCATGATACTTTACAACCTTCGATATGAATAACTGAGCCAACTTATTTAAAGAATACTTCTCCCTTACTGGAATAAAATGTGCTGATTTGGTAAGTCGATCTACAACCACCCAAATGCCATCAAAACCATTTTGTGTACGTGGCAGCTTATACACAAAATCCATCGTTATATTCTCCCATTTCCACTGGGGAACGGGAAGTGGTTGCAATCTCCCAAACGGCTTCTTTCTTTCAGCCTTAACCTGCTGGCAGACAATACACCTACTCACATACTCTGCAATCTCCCTCTTCATACCCGGCCAATAGTAGAATGGTCGAATGGTATGATACATTTTAGTTCCTCCTGGGTGCATAGCATAAGCCGAACAATGTGCTTCATCCAAGATTTCCTTCTTCAGTTCCTCATTATTAGGCACATACATCCTGTTCTCTTGCATAAGCATACCATCTGATCCTCGGATCTTGAGATCTTTCTTCTTCCCTTCATTTCTTAACTTGATCAATTCTTGAATTTCTTCATCCCACGATTGAGCTGCAAGCACCCGATCAATTAAAACTGGCTTGACTTGAAAACTGGCAAGAAAAGCTTCACTTTGCTCTTCCAATTCTAACTCTACTCCAGTAGATCTCAACTCTGCCAGAAGAGGAACACGACTGGCATACAAAGCATTAAGTCGCCCTTGAGGTTTTCTACTCAGAGCATCAGCTACCACATTTGCACGACCCGGATGGTACTCAATCGTGCAATCATAATCACTTAACAATTCCAACCATCTTCTCTGACGAAGATTAAGATCATGCTGAGTGAAAAGGTACTGAAGGCTTTTATGATCGGTAAAGATCTTACATTTCTCGCCATAGAGATAGTGTCTCCAAATCTTCAAAGCAAACACAATAGCTGCCAACTCAAGATCGTGAGTCGGATAGTTTCTTTCATGAGTCTTCAACTGCCTAGAAGCATAGGCAATCACTCTACTATGCTGCATCAAAACACAACCCAAACCATTCAAAGAAGCATCACTATAGATCTCGAAGTTACCATTACCATCAGGAAGTACTAACACAGGTGCATGAGTAAGGCAATACTTCAACTGCTGGAAACTTTGCTCACAACTTTCATCCCACTCAAACTTAACATCCTTCCTGGTTAACTTCGTTAATGGCAAGGCAATCATAGAAAAGTCTTGAACAAACCGTCTATAATAACCTGCCAAACCAAGGAAACTCCGCACCTCAGTGACCGTTCGAGGTTGTTCCCAATTTTCCACTGCTGCTATCTTTTGAGGATCCACTTGAATTCCCTGAGCTGATACCACATGTCCCAAAAATGCCACTTGATCCAGCCAAAATTGACATTTACTAAATTTGGCATATAACCGGTGTTCCCTCAATTTCCTTAACACCAAGTTAAGATGTCGAATATGGTCTGATTTCGACTTAGAATATACCAGGATGTCATCAATAAAAACAATAACAAACTTGTCAAGATATTCCTGGAATACTTCATTCATCAATCTCATGAAAGCTGCAGGAGCGTTCGTTAATCCAAATGGCATCACCAAAAAACTCATAATGCCCATAACGAGTCCTGAAAGCTGTTTTATGAACATCCTCATCTTTAATCTTTAATTGATAATACCCAGACCTCAAATCGATCTTAGAAAACACACAGGCACCTTTGAGCTGATCAAACAAATCATCTATACGAGGCAAGGGATAACGGTTTTTAATCGTCACCCGATTCAATTGCCTGTAATCAATGCACAATCTCAAAGTTCCATCTTTCTTTCTTACAAACAACACTGGAGCTCCCCAAGGTGAAGAACTAGGCTGAATGAAACCTTTATCAATTAACTCTTGCAATTGAATTTTCAACTCTCTTAATTCCGCTGGTGCCATTCTATAAGGAGTCAAAGAGATAGGATTCGTACCTGGAAGCAATTCAATCGAAAATTCCACATCTCTATCTGGAGGCAACCCAGGTAAATCATCTGGAAATACATCAGGATAGTGTCTGACTACTCCGACTTCCTCCACACTACCGGAATCAACATCATTCAAAACCACATGTGCCAAGTATCCCTGACAACCCTTGGATAACAATTTCTTTGTCCTTATGGCGGAAATAACACCATGCCTCACCCCACTTCTTTCACCCACAAATGTAACCTCGGGTAGTCCAGGACGAAGAAAAGTAACTGATTTCCCGTAACAATCTATATGGGCGCGATTATAATGCAACCAATCCGCCCCTAAAATCACCTCAAAATCCACGATGTCTAACGGGATAAGATTAGCAGGCATAATGACATTATCTACCATCACTGGACACCCAGAGTAAAAACTATCAACATAACATTTATCCCCTCTAGGCATAGCAAACTCTAAATCAAACCCTAGAGGTGAAGGATGAGGTTGCGTTATTTGAGCAAATGTATGAGAAATCACAGAGTGTGTAGCACCACAATCAATCAAGACTCTAGCAAAATGACCAAGAACATTCAACGTACCCATAATCAAGTCTGGATGGTTCTGAGCATCTTGCAGCGATATGTGGTTAACGCGTCCCTGAGCTGGCTGTCGTCCTCCACGACCTCTGCCACTCTGGTTACCTCGTCCCTGATGAGTACGTCCTTGACCTGCCTGGGCAGGCGGCCTAAACGACCCTGTACTACTAGCAGCAACTCCGCTCTGTTGGGGCTGACCCCCCTGATACCACTGAGATCCGCTAGCTGGCATAGACGGATATGAAGTATAACCTCCCTGATCCTGAGAATATCCACTCTGAAAATAAGGATCCTGGGAATAGTGATACTGTCCCGGAGCATAAGGAGCAGCATCACCCTGATAGTGATAAGCACCACCACGACCACCCTGGCCATAACTGCCTGAATTAAAGTTCTGTTGAGTCGGTGCTGATGTTGGCATAACAGGCTGCTGGGGCCTCTGCTGATTCTGGGGACAATACATAGCTCTATGTCCTGTCTGACCACATGTAAAGCATGCACCACTGCTTCTCCTACATTCCCCATGATGTCGGAAATTACAACGGCGACATAACGGAGGACCCGAACTACCAGTATTACCAAAGCCTCTCTGACCAGAAAATCTAGGTCCATTACCAAACCTACCACCTCCTCTCCTCGGACCTGTGGCACTAAATCCACCACTGGAAGAACTCGAACTCATTCCACTTTTCTTGAAATTCTGCGTCTGACGAGGTCCTGGAATGGAAACACCTTTACCTTTCTCATTTTTCTTCTGACCATTACCCTTATCCTCTTCATCCTCACTGTCCGGAAGATTATCAGAGTCTTCCATCCTGACCAGAATCTCAAAATACTCATGATAATCGGCACAGGGAAGTGCATTGGCAAACGTTCTGTACTTCTTCTTAGATCCTAGCTTGAAACGACGAAGCATTTCTGCTTGATTACCCGCTAAATCAGAATCATAACGGGATAAATCAGTAAACTTCCTGTAGTACTCATGTGCAGACATATTTCTCTGCTTCAGACTGGTGAATTCCTGTTTCTTGCGATCTATATATTCCGGAGGAACAAATCTCTTCATAAAATTTTCCTTAAATACCTCCCATTCGGCTGCCCTTTCAGGAGTCATGTGCCTCGACTGATTTATCCACCACGCAGCTGGCTCACGGCCCAAAAACCAGGTGGTGGTCTCCACCCATCTATTAGCTGGCAGGTTTCCCTGACTTTGCATCACTTGAAAGGTCTGCTCAATTCGATCCAACCACTTTTCTGCCCCTTCATAACCTTCATTTCCCTCAAAGGTTTCCAGTTTCAGATTATACATCGTCTCTACGGGCGTTCTCTGAGGAGGACGGATATTAGCCTGAAAAGCTTGAGCCATTGCTGCCCCTAACTGAGTTATATCGGGGAAATTAGGCTCAGCAGCACGGCGAGGATCTCTACGAGGCGGCATAATTCTGACAGAAAACATCCAAAAATCAATAGAAGAACTCATTAGTTATACAGGACTGCAACCTATGCTCTGATACCAAACTGACACACCCTAACCCGAAGACTAGGACGTGCTGGCCGTCACGTGAGTGTGACGTAACCATAACGCAAGCGGAAACGATTTAATAATAAAATACGAATTAACGAAAACCACTAATTGCAGTTATTTACAACCTAGCATTCTATGTGCATAAGAGTGTACTAAACACACATAAACAGAGCATAAGCATCTAGGTGCAGTCAAGTAGGAACATAACTATTTTACAACACCCTCGGGTGAATCCTACATTTATTTAGTCTGTCAGAACGCCGAAGCAGTCTCGTAGGCCACCAACGCCTCAACTATTAACTAGAACCTGGAGGGGCGAAAAACAGAAAACGTGAGTGGGCGAAAATAAAGCTTTTCCAAATCATTTCACAAATCCACAATTATAACCCCTTTTTGGAAAACCTGTATACTTTCCCAGAAAAATAGTATATAGCATATATATCTCAACTGTCTCAATCATCAATCTTATAACAGATTCAATAAAGAATGTACCATGCCAATCTCAACAGTTTAGTATGAATGCATTAACATAATATAATCAGGTAAAAGATAGAAATCAATCGGAGGCCCTCTAATAGCCCTGAACGATTGAACCTAGAGCTCAACATCTATCAATCTCACTCTCTGCCGGAGTCACTCCGCGTGACCTGTCCGGCCTTCTGCACATAAGTCGGAACCACCTAATGTAGTTTGAACGACTCATGGTAATATTCGCTCTAGTGCTTCTCTCATCAATCATCTGTATACAATAACCTAAGGTCACCCACCAGTCATAATCTCACTAACACTCTACGACTGGCCCGTCGTACCCACTCCGCGTGGACTGTACGACCAGCATCTACTTGGATCCAAGGCGAGCGTGCGATGCGGTGAATACTATAAGCACTAAACCATGGTGCAGGATATGAGCTCAATATATCATCATCATCATCATAATATTAATTAAATACTTACCTGTGCTTCCACAGCACCATCATACATATATGCATCATACGACAGTTCATAATATCCATAATATTCTATGCATGGCAATCACATCATATTTCATTTCATTTCAATATACTTTTCATTTAAATTTGATTTCTGGGGAAATCGAGTATATAGGTATATATATAGAAAGCAATGCCCACTCACTGGTATGTCGCCGGGTCGTAACCCCCTTGACGCCCCTGGATGTGCTCGTCCTCGTTAAATGTTCCACCTAGAAGTGAAATAACTTAAAACAATCATTTAACGCACAATTAACGCACCTAAACCAAACTAGGTAATTAATTCTTCATACGATGCTCAAATTGGGTATATGAATATACCACAGTGACCTACACAACCTCAGGATCATCCCCATAATTTTAAAATAATTTTTGGAGTCCTCACGCGCCCCCACGCGCCTGACGTGGCACGGACCTACGCGCGGCCCACGCGCGGCCACGTGACATGCACACTGACGGCTACAGTGAACGGCGTTAGAGAATATTCCGTCAAATCCTAGTATATTCCGTTAAAAACTAACGGTTTCCGTTAAAGTTAACTAACGGCGTCGGAATATTCCGTCAAACTTGACGGAAGATTCCCTGTCTTCTCCGGCGAGTCACCGGTCGCCGGCGACTGTTCGCCGGTTTCTGGAAAATTTTCAAATCCACTATTCTCCTTCGTTTTTCAACCAATTTCTTCGCATTTTATACCAAAATGAAGCATTTAACATGTACTATCACGTTGGAAGGGTTTTAAGGCCTAAAAACAACAAGATCAAACCTTTCAAAATTCTTCAATTTCGGCCAAACTCGAACCCGACGATCCCGACGTCCATTTTGATCAAACGAGGCACTCCGAGCCTCCTTGGAACTTCCTAAGACTCGTGGTGATCTTTGTTTAACCTAAACACAACCAAAATTAAGTTCGTGAACAGTGCCATTACACGGGGTGTTTTAAAACTAGGGTTCTCGAAATAGAACTTACCTAAAACTGGTATTCCCGTGCTCGTGAGGTCCTAAGGAGTGTCGTGGTGATCTTAGATCGGACGTTGGTGTAGGATTGTGATTGTTCTTGGTGTTTGTCCGAGAGCTTGAGAGAGTTCGAGAGTAAGAGAGAGAGAGTGTTTCTGAGGGAGTGTGAGAGAGACTGAGGGAGAGACGAGGAAGAAAGAGGGAGAGACAACCTACGGGTTTTGGGGAAGGATTTCAGGAGGTGGGGATCCCACCTAAGTCCAATACAAAATTATTAGACCAAACAAATGTAAATCTAAACCCTAGTTTAAGATCTTAGTGTAAAACAAATACCAAATTTACGCACCTTAATCCCGTTTAAGGGCGTTTTAGTAATTTCACGTCCTCGGTAATTGAAATTCTGGGACGGGCTGTGACAGTTCATTTGTTGGTCTCAAAAATTGTTGATTAGTTATACTTGAATGTCCTGAATTTTCTAAACCTAGTATACTACTTTTTTCTGCTGGATTACATTCTTCTTTCAATTCTAATAAATTATTATATTCTTTTTTATCCTAAAATATGTTCTACTCCTATTTCTAAAATTAAAATTTTCATCTCTTCATTTGAAATTCTATGTAGTCCTAAATCGTATGTCTTATATTTTTCTAAGTACTCTTCTTCATCTAAATGATCAATATCTTCTATAAGTTTATTTACAATATGATCGAAATTTTGCTCTACTAAATTAATATTTAAATTATCAAAAGTCATATGAATACTCTCATATTTTTATCTCACTCTCATCCTCTTCTATTTTTTCTAGTTGCTTGTAATTACTAAACCTAATTGTTGCTTGGCCTATACTAGTTTCATAAACTTGTACTTTATATGGTTGTTTATTTCTTACTACTTGTAAATTAGGTAATATCCATTGAGTTCCTTCTAAAAAGTTATTATCTATGGGTTTTGCTTCTATCATATTTACATGTTTACTGCCAAATGTTTGAACTAAATTTTGAAATTCTAAATTAAACTTATGATTATATGTATTAGACACTTTACCAATATACATTAAGCTAATACACAAATTTTTATACTCTCCTTTCATATTATAATTTTTTTGTTCTTATGCTTACTTTGATATATTTACTAAATTCATTAATTGTCATAACATAATTTGGAATACATCCTATGACTGCTAAGTTTGAACTTAAGTCTACTTCAGCTGTTGCTATTGCTGCTTGTTGGTAGTTATCTCATCTATCATCGTATATGTATACTAAAGCTTTTGTGCCTACTTGTGCTCTGGTTAATCCTGTTATTCCAATTAATATTGTTCCTATATGAATATGACTAAATTGTGATTTTCTCAAATGAGTAACTGCTTCTTTACTAATTAAATTAAGTGTAACTTCTTTATTAATACAACTAACTTCATGTTGACTGATGCTACTTACAATTCTGCTTTTATTTTCAAATAAACCTAATTGATACAAATTATATTCATTTTTCTGTGTTCTCTCAAATCATCTTCTAATAAATTGTTGTGCTTCTTCTTCATTTGGATAAATATCTTCAGCTCTAACTACTTCTTTTCCTTTTCTCTTAAAGAGTTCCATTTTATGTTATCAAAAGGATTTATCTTAGGTCTTCTAATATGTTAGTTGTACTTAAAGTTAAATTTTCTAATTTTTCTAGCAAAGATGGTGGAAGTGATGTCACGCCCCGAACCCAACATACGTCCAGGATCGACGCGTGACATCATCCAGCATTCGTACATCTAATAGATCCCGCCTCCAATATATGTACAAGACATAACTCAAGATCCAACTGCGTAATAGTTTTTCGTAAGCTTTATGGCTGCATCTAATCTCCTCGTTAGACTGCCTACGTACCCTAAACAGGGATCAAGCCATTCGTAGTTCATCTAGCACTACCCATCTACATTTACCAATGTACATTCAAGCCAAAAGATATAACATTCCTCAATCAATCATTAGAACTTGACAAGTATGGAAGTACTAGATTCAAGGCTACATAACAATCCAATATGACAATCAAGGTTTCCATTCCACCCATCATATAAGTCACTATGTTTTCAACATGAAATCTTAATCCACCACATGTAACATATCCAAGAACCAACAAAGCACAATATTATTCTCAAGCCATTTCGAGTAACGAGACTAATCATAATAATAACAATCATATCCCACATCATTCCGCAATCGTTCTACTTAATCAATCCTAAATCACAGATGAATGATATCTACAATTACTATGTTATTCAATCAATAAGGTCACATATCAATTCACAAATTTTAATAAAGGACCCTGCATAATTCCCCACCTGGATTCCAAGTATTAACATGATAAGTCTAATTTATACACAATGTCTACTGTGAACAATTCATATTCACTCGACTCTAAGGTCGGACTACCTTTACGGAAATGAGCAAGAGTAGGGATTCCAGACCACTCAACAGAATCCAACCAAAATACTAAGCGACCTCTTGTAATCTCTTCAGACCTGACATCTGTACAATCAGTGCCTACACCACGGGAATGGTGCATCGGCATCAAGAATTCAGATAAGCTGCAAAGCTCGGGTAAGTTACAATAATACAAGGATGTGATAATAATGATAAAGCCAACCATTAATCATAGTTTACATCTCTTTAATATAAATCATTCATAAGGAATCAATACCAAGCCTTTGTAACTCCGAAGGAGTCACCTCGACATCCAACGGTTCGTTTGAAACAAACCACAATAGCTCACAATCATAATCTCATACAACACAATGAAAAGTAGTGTTACGGCGACACAGTTCGGCCTTAGTCTACATCTTCGAAGCTATCTCAATCCAAATTCAATAACCCCAAGGTGAACACGATCCCGGACCATCTCTCAACGGAATCGCGTAGTAGGAGGGATTCCAAACCATCTCTTAACGGGATCCAAGTGGGTACGATTTAGGACCACTCAACTAAACCGAGCGTAAATCCAAGAAATATAGCAACGCTCAAAGAAGAAAACATGAAACAAGTACTCAAAATACAAAAGCTCAATGAAACAAGAAATGAAGTAATGATAGGATATGTGAAACAAGTCTCGAAGCAACAAACCCCATGACAATGGGTTCATGGTCCACTCCTAACCCTCACATTTCATCACATCAGGCCAATCATGCAAATCAAATCTCATTTCAAATATGCACATCAAATTACTTTCCATCGAACAATTCATCAAGTACTTCAAATCACATTTCACAGATATGATCCATACTCAAGTCAAATCACGACTAATAAACATAGATCCATGACTAATCACATTTCAATAGATTCACATTATATAATCAAGTGATATCCA